GTCTAATTCAGTGTCATGTTCCGGGGAAGCCCAGATTGTGAACTAGCTTCTTCCCGGTGTGTTATTTATTGGGTGGGCAGTGAGTCGCTGTCTGCTTATTTACACCAGATTGCTTCTCCAGATGTTTTTTTTGGGAAGAAATCCCCCATCCCTCCCAATGCCTCCCTCCCACCGCCCCCCACCTCTCTTTGTCCAGATGGAAATAATTTTTTTTTGTAAGGCTTTCTAATCCCTTTCTTTCCTGGGCTATTTTCCACCGCATTGTGATAGGAAACTTACGACGAGCCGAAGAGAAAGGTGCAGGGTTAAGGCCAAGTCTTGTCATCGGGAAACAATCCCTTCCTCTGGTTGTTAAATAAAACCTACATGCATCCTTTTTTCTTCTTTTTTATTTTTTGCTTGGTGTGTGACCCAGCGAAAGCCACTCGGCCTGGTGTAGATGTATAATGAGCTTTTGTGCTCAATGGTTCTCCCTCACTTTCACATTAGTTCCTCTCAGCTAGTGTTGTGGAGAGTGCAGCACGGGGAAATGGACTGTGAGAACACTAACCAGATGGCTTAGATCCCAAAACCCCAGGGGAGAGAGGCATAGTTCCGGACTAAGCTAAATCAGTGTACCTAGACTTCAACAGCAGATACACGTAATAAGGAAACTGTCTGAGTAAAATAATAAGGGATTGTGGTGGTTAAGAGAATGTATTTAAGTACTCTGTGAAATGCAGTAACTAGCACTTTTTGAGTAATGACTGAAATCAGGTTTCTAAGACGAGGGATTTTCAAACTTTCTGATGACATCACAGACTCCAAAATATGATCCTTTTTTTTGTGAGGGACCCCTGCCTACAATATAAAGGCATTAATAAAGATCCTTTTTATACTGTTAAAAAAAATGCAGATTCTTATAAATGTGTAAAATGTTATTTTTTTTCTGTTTACTTTTACATTTTTACTTTCTATTAAGGTGACACTTTTATTTTTATGCACTACTAAAATAAACATTTTATTACTAATAATTTTTAAAATGATTTTCTTTTCATTATTTTTTTTTACATGATATCTGACCAGTGTTTGAAAACTAAATGAACAGCAATAATGTAAATTCAGTAAATTGTATCTGTTTTATTTGTTTTTATACAATAAAATATTATTATATAAAACAGTAATAGAAAAACACTACTACCGGTATTATTATAAAATAGTTTTGTGCTCTTGAAAACCCGTTTTAGTGTGTGATCTTGACAAACCGGGTTTTGCTCCACTATGCTCAGATTCGGAGAAAACTAAGTTAATGAAAATATCAAAACAGAAAGAACATTTGTATACAATCAAGATACTCCAAAGACATTTCTTTCTGTTTCAGTGGTGGCTAATTTACTGTTTTGACTGTCTAGGGTAGTATAAGAGGTGAAATTATCTATTTTCATGCTCTCACATTCTAATTTTTTGATTACCCACTTTGCATTTTGTGCTACCTTTGAAAAATACAGTAACGCACTGCATATCTAAAATGAAAACGGTGGGTTTTGTTTGATGGAAACATCAATCAAACTCCCAAAATCGTAGTTTTTTTTTCAAATCTGAGATGTTCTTTTTCTCTTTCTTCAAGAGTAGTCAATTGGCACTAAAACTTTCCAATTTTATACCGCAGATGAAAGATCATTTACTTCTCCTGAAATCAAATAGGACATTTCTCTGGTGAGCAGTAAGGAGCATTGTTCTAAAACGATAAGGCACAGATTCGTCTGTAGATCTCCGGCGAGGTCCGTGGGGGTGGGAGGAAGAGGGATGGGGGGGAACGGCAGATTGATGAAGAGCTGAAGTGGGTCCCTGGGTGACACACGCTCCACTCCACAATATTAAAAACTCCCACACGTTTTTTGGGGAGGCAAAATTGCCCTTGCTGGAACACTGGTGTATTTTTTTCCAGTAATGAGCAGCATTTGTTTTATCTTGATAGATGGGACGTTGAGGAGAATTCATATCATCGCAAAACTCCGGAACTGCCTTCCATTTATGCCTGGGTGCCCCATTGATCGCTGCTGAAGGTCATCTTGACAATTACGCAAGGGACACCTTCAGGAGAACGGTTCAAAGCCGACTGCGACACAATGAGGATCTTGCGTGTTTTTTGGGGCCGGCTACATAGAAAATGTCAGAGTTTAGTCTTGCAACCTGTTACTTTCGCCACTGCTTTCTCGTTGGCGTCTCACGCAGCCAGATTTTTGACTTCTAAAAGTCTTCTGTGCATGGAAAAGCAGGTGCTACTGAATATTCAGAAGGTGTGGTTTTATGAAAAATACCTTTTAGTTTGTGCTGCTCACACTTATGTCACTTTTGATCGTTGTTTAAGTTTTCCAGGCACAGTCCGCTCCATGCTTTCATCCTGCAACTGTTACCAGAGAAACTGGACCTGGCCCAATGCGTCAAAGTGACCCTATTACAATGACAGCGAGACTAGATCCCTCTCGTGGCCTGCACTCGCACCCGCCTCCCTCTCCACAGGATGTAAATGGCCGTTTAAATGAATGAATGTAAGGTTTCTTTCATACATGCCCCAGTAATATTGAAGCCATTACGGTCCTCTCCGGAGTTGGCATGGTCAGCACTTAGTGCTTAATGTCTTCTACGTTGAGCTTATTAATCTAAACAGTGCGGCCCAGCTGCTCTGGATCGGCCGTTCCTAAGCAGCGGCAGCGGTCTCGCATCTGAACAGCTGCCATATGTGGCTGTGGAAAAGCTAACTGGCTTGTGTCATTTTTTTTCACTTAATTCTGACCACTCCTGGTGAGTAGGTTTTCACAGAGGCCTTCATTGAGACCGCTTCCAACTGTAAAGCCCCACTCGGATACGCCGTTCCTCCCTGAGGTCTTGCCAAAACAAAAAACACAGAGCCACTGATTTACATAGCTGTGACTCCCATTACCAACCACCTCAAACTGCTTTGGGCTGTAGAGCTGAGCCGAACTGTTTAAAGTCTTACCACAAATGTGTTCGTGTATTACAGGGAGATGATTAATCAGAAATGACTTGTTTATGGAGTGTATGACAATGTGTTGATTTTCAACACGATCGTGATGTGGCAAACATCAGCGCTGCTTTTCTCTGACAAGAGGACTGTGCGAGTTGGAAAGATAATTTACGAGAATGGACTGAAATTATGGTTTGGCTGCTCTTGTGGCTTATCTGAACTCATTTTAATTGTCAAATTAAAAACATTAATACATTTGAGTGTTGTTTAATTCAAGCAGGGTTGACTAGAAATTATGCTTAGAAGTAGGAACTGGGTCTGGAAATGCCTCAAACTGGAATCGATCTCTCATTATGTCAATGTGCAATAACTGCTAGTCCACTGCACTGTCTCTTTCTTTCTTTTACAGATGCAGTTGCGTTCTCTCAACAAAGAAACTTGCCACTCTGGATTCACCCAAAACTCATTAAAAAGGTTTGTTTACAATAACAGCACACCTGTAAAAGTAAGTTTTTTTGTTTGTTTTATTTGGCAAAATTTAAAACAAAATACAAAAAAGCCCATAAAGACTAATCCATTCACATTTCTAATCCATATTGCATCTTGTTCTGGCCAAGAACCACCCAGAATAAGAGACTGTCTGACTGATATATAAAACAACAAACCACAGTTCACGTGGTTTATGGTTTGAGGTTGGAATCTGTGAGAGTAGCAGAGTTGCCCATCCTTGATATTGATTGAAAGATACAAAATGCACTGCATTTTAGCTTGCTTATTTTGTTCAAGAGCATTATCTATTCAAGTCCACATGTCATACTAACAAGGAACTTATGACCATAGTAGGCTTACAATGTTTCAACACGGTCGAGGATGAAATACACAAAAAAGCCATAGGCATATTTCTATTGTGGTCATAACACGTTATGTTTACAATGTGTTATACAAAAACATAATTTATTTCCAGTAATTGCAACATAATATTTAATCATTTGACTTTATAGTTTACAATTACAATTGTCTCAGCGACTTCATATGTTACAATGCCACCTGAAGTATATAAGTCCATTTCAACCTAAGAGTTAAAAATAAATGTTGGCTTCATAGCTCACAATATTTAATGTTTCACAGTTGCTAATTTATTTCTCAAAGTTGCAGCTTTTTTATACATTCAAATTTTTTAATGTAATTATTTGTGTATTTTATAAAAATGATCTGTTTACATTTTTAATTTGAGATGGAAATAATATTCATAAATGATTACATAAACTACTGTTGTTTAATGTTTTGTGTCGTTTGTGCTGACAAAGGCCTCATTTATTTAATCAAAATACAATAAAAACAGTAATAATGTGAAATATTGTCTATATTAAAATATCATCTCTATCTATTGTGATATATTTTAAAATGTAATTTATTCCTGTGATGACAAAGCTGGATTTTCCAGTGTCATGATCCTTCAGAAATCTTGCTAATATGCTTTGATTTGCTGCTCAAGAAACGTTTCTTATTATCAATGATCAAAACAGTTAGGCTGCTTAATATTTTTTTGAAGCATGATACCATGGAAAGGTTCAAAGAACTGTTTTTTTTAAATGGAAATATATTGTAACATTATAAAAAATATTTTTTATAATTTCTTTTTAAATTTATAAAAAAAAAGCCTTAAGTAATTTCTTAGCTTACTGACTTCAGACTTTTGAACGGTTGTGTAAAGTAATAGTAAAATACAAAACTAAGTAAGGAGTAAACAAATTAAATTGCCAGCGTAAAGTGATCAAATATTGAAAGATATGTGCTATTTGAAATAAATAATCAATTAAGAGATTGACAGCATGGAAATGGTGACTAAAGGCTGATTCACAAATTTCGATATTTTTATAATGCATGTTATAAGGGAAACACAGAGACATTATCTTCATTTAATAGCTGTTTGTCTGTAGCCATGAAAAGTTAATACAGCTAGAAATCATAATTTAAGGGCGTGTTTGGACATTTGTGAACAAACTGTCGCTACGTTCCCATATTCACTTCAGTTTAACCTGTCAGACAGAGACAAAAGAGGTGAGAGGCATTAACAGAGTCTCTTTCCGTCACGCTAAGGTTACTAACAGGTCGATGTACTAGTGCAGAAAGGTAATGAAACAGGGTTGACCTCGGCGCTCTCACCTGGGAGGGTCCTCTTCGTCTGCTGTCTGCACAGATGAGAGCTTTAGGCTACATCTCTGCTCCGGAGGGTGACACCCTTCAGCACTTTGCCACCTTAATGGCAGGACTCAAGCCAGATAATGATGCTGACAGCCCAACTGTCAGTCTGCCTCTTCCTGCAGCAGCCCCTTAAGAGCTCAACGTGGGGCGCTGGCCTTGAATCCGTGAGACTGCTGCATTTTCAAAAGTCATTAATCTAAACAAAGACACCCCGGAGTCTTCTGCGACTCCCTCTGCTCGGCCTCGTCCTCTGCTCAGGATGGAGGAGACGAAGAGTGAGTGCAAAAGAGGCAGCTCAAAGTTCTGCAGTGCTGTGACGGTCTGACATGGTGTCAGTGGGCCTCGCAGGTAAAAGGAAGTGGCTTTTTCAGCACCTTGGAGAGCTCTTGAAGCCACTGCAGCGAGGGCAGCTTTGATGAAGGCCGCGAGTGATGGTAATGCTGGACACATCAGAGTTGTGCCGCATGCAGAATTCAGTTGAGAATGCATTCTACGTTTCAGTTGAGATCCTGAATTTGATGTACAGTTTGAACTAACATGCAGAATTGGAATTCAAATTTGAGTTTTAAGTACAGTTTTCAGAATGCATCAGACGCCATTTTCAGAAACACTATATGTGTGGTATATTTGTAGCAATAGCCAACAATACATTGTATTTTTCTTTTATGCCAGAAATTAGGATATTAAGTAAATTAAAGATCATGTTCCATGAAGATATTTCCTGCTGTAAATATGTCAAAACTTCATTTTTGATTTGCAATCTGCATTGCTAAGAACTTAATTTGAATAACTTAAAAGGGGATTTTCTCAATATTTAGATTTGTTTTGCACTCTCAGATTCCAGATTTTCAAATATTGTCCTATCATAACAAACCATACATCAACTTATTTATTCATCTTTCAGATGATGTATAAATCTAAAAAAAATTAATTGACCCTTACGACTGGTTTTGTGGTCCAGGGTCACATATGATATTAATAATGTTTGAAATGCCACAATCATCAACATTTGCAGTAAATTAGAGCATTCTGGGAAATAAAATGTTCGTTCAGAATCATTATGACTTAATATTTCGCAATTGTGTATTTATTTCTTACAATTATGATTTTTTTTTATAGCTTATAGTTTGTCTATATAGGTAAGTTTGACTGATTTTTTCAGTTTCAGTTTTTATTTTACTTTGAGGTGAAAATGGACTTCATAAATGAGTACATGCACTACCATTCAGTTTCTTATACCAAGGCTGCATTTATTTAATTAATCAAAAGTACTGTATCCATAAAATGAAAAATCATATAAATAATGTTATTAAAAAATTATGTATTATGGTGCAACACTTCAATCAAAAACACTTAATTTCCCCAAATGCTTATAACCTGAATGTGACCTGTATATATAAGGGAATAAACAGTAATTATTCCAAATTATTATTATTTTTTTTTTGGTAACAATTTGTTGCAAAATTTAAGGTGTTGAAAAACAGTAGTCTTGAATTACAATGAAGTAAATTTCATACTGTTCTTGCATTTAAAATTCCAATTCAACATTCTATTAGGTGTGACTAATCAATTCAAATTGAAATTAGAAATAGAAAATCATTTTTAAATTCTACATTTTGCACAACCCTCTTAGACTTGCTATTGTAAATTAGAAATAAAGTCTATCTAGCCAACTCGGTTTGGGTGGCATTAGAACAAAGAATCTGGGCTGTGGATTGGACTGTGCCTCCTAATGTTTTATGACTTTTTGATTCGTATAATTTAGTTTTGGAGGTCATAAGTCAGTTTTCCCACCCTCAACTAATACGTGAGTCCTCCTCTGTCAGTGTGTCATATCTCTTCCTCCATCACTATTTCAACGAGCCCTCAGACTGACACACATACTGCTTACCACATCCAACCAGCTCCTCTAAAGACCCCTAAATCTGCAAACATGTTGAAGATGAGAGAATGCGAAAGGTGTAGCCCTCAGAATAAAGCCAAAACTGCTTAACAACAAAGACACCTGGGCCAGAAGAGGATCATGGTTACAAAACAGCGACTCCACAGTTGCCAAATGCTAATGCAGATGTTTGGATCCTTATTTTCTCAGAGATTAGCTGGCCAAAAGCAAGCTATGATTTAATCTCTGCTCAGATGATCATCAAAGCTGAGAGTCAGCCACTATTACTGTGGAAGATGCATCAGCAAAAGATGATTTTGCATTTAGGACATTTACATTTTGAGCAAAGGTTAAGAGTGTAGTGGTACCAGATTGTTGCACCTTCTAAATTGTTGTCAATGAAAGGACAGTAACCAATGATTTGATGTTCTCTTCAAGACTGCTCCACAAATTACTCTACTACACAGTATGTTTTTGTTCTGCATCATGATTTTTGCTGCATGTTGATAGGTCACTTAGACATTGCTGTCAACTGATCAACCTCACCTAACAGTTTATATTAGATAAGTCATATTAGTATATTTAGTTATATTAGTACATTTATCGGTAACGGTTTACAATAAGGTCTCATTTGTTAACATTAGTTAATGCATTAACTAACATGAACTGACAATGAGTAATGTATATTTTAACAGCAATTATTAATCTTTGTTAATGTTAGTTAATAAAAATGTTCATGTTCATGTTAGTTCACAGATACAACTTTAAATTTGAATATGCATTAGTAAGTTTTGAACTTAACATTAACATTAATAAATGTTATTATTGTTGTTAATGTTAACTAGTTAATGTTATCAAATTAAACTTTATTGTAAAGTGTTACCCATTTATCAATTTATTTGGAGGTGTTTGTCATGATATATTTGCATTTACGCACAAATAACTCAATTATCATTTGTTTCTCCAGACAAAAATATTCCTGGGAATTTTCTGTGGAAAGAGCAAGAAGAAATGACAACAGTGAGAAGGTTTGGAACCATTTTTTATGCGTTAAAATATTATTTTAAGCATAAATAATATTAAAGAACCCATAATAGTGATTCACTCAACTTAAGTTTTTAGTATATAAATACATAAATTAATTTGAGAAATATTCATTTAATTCAAGCTGAAATTTTTTTAAAGAAAAAAAATATTTTGGACTTTTGTTTGGTGTTGCACAGTAGATTTTGAATTATGTTTTGTATTATGTTACACAGTTGCTGCATGACTATGCTTAAACGTTTTTGTTGCTGTTTTTTTCTTTTTAACCCTTTCCCCCCTGAAACTCTTTTTCATTTTTGCTATTAGTGCTATTTTATCTATCTGAAATTTATTTATTGTTGATATCAGATATTAAT